TGTAGAAAACATTCCCAGTAGTTGGTTGATTTTATCTGAAATTCCTAAAACCGATTAGCAAAGTCACAGTTGAGAACGTAAAAACTTACCAATTAATTTTTTTACCTTTAGCGCCAAATAAAAATTTGATTTTTATATTTAGATTATTTTATTGTGATATCGTACTTTTAGAGATCATAGCTAAAGTAAATTTGGACCTTTTTTTAAGCTGTATTATATAATGTGGGCCAAAATGAATCAAGTGAAAGTACTTACATTTTCACAGATCATTTTTACCTGTTTAACAGTTTCTCTGGTTTTATTTTTTTCCACGGAAATATATCAACTATCAAAGACTTAATTAGTAAATATTTGTTAAACTTCTGTTAGGGAAATGGCACTGCTAGATGCTAAGAAAAATGGAAATAAAATGTGATCCTTGCTCTTTCGCTCTGCATACTTTTTTCTGCTTAACTAGAAACTCTTAATCTTTTAAAACCCATTGCAAAAGAAAACTCTAGTGTGAAGCCTTCTCTTCACTCCTCTGTGCTCTAACAGAACTTTTCATACCTCCTCTAAGACACCATGTTGCACATTATTTATGTTGTCTGCCTTCATTATACATTCAATGACAACAGGAACCATGTCTTTGTCTCTATTTTGTTTGGTTTTTTATCTTCTCATTGTATCTCTTGCACTAGGTGTAGCAGACCTGTGTTAAGTATTTATTAAGTGAATGAGTGGATGGATCGATGAAGATGGCATTTAAATAAGGTCTTGAGGTTGGGTAAGATTTCCACAGACAGGATTGGGTGGGCAGGGAGGGACAGTATAGAGGGAACGGCCTAAGTTGAAGCTGGAAAGGCCAGGTTTGTAAATGAAGGTTGGCAGTCAATGGTTATTAGAGGTGGGCACAGGTGGAGAGACCTTTAACAAAAAGCTGGAAAGGGCTGAGAATGTGATGATATTATGGGTAAAGGTTTGCAGTAATGAAAGCAAAGTGATGGAGGAAAAGGGAGAAAGTGGGTAAATGATTACAGGTTCTGTCCTCAGACCTTATCTTTCACCATTCCACAATCTCAACATCCTTTGTCACTTCCTCAGCTCTAAGATGGTTCCCACTCAGGCCTCTTTCTCATTCTCTCTTTTTTTTTTTTTTTTCCTGAATTGTAGAACCAGCCAATGACTAAGGGTAGAACCTTAGACTGGTAGTAGAACTAGGTTCAAGTTTCTACTGCCACCAATTAGCTATGAAACATTGGGCAAGTCCTTTTAAACACATGCATTTATTAAAACCCCACCTTGTTCCAGAAGGGATTTAGGGTGTCAGCAAGTTACTTAATATCAGGGCTTTGGTTTCCTCATCTCTAGATGAAAGGTTTAGTCTAGGTGGTCTGAGCTCCTTCCAGCTCAGACCACCATTTTGTGACCCTGATTCTAATGATTTTTTGGTCTTCTCTACTTCTGCCAACACTTCATATATAGAATATGGAAAACTGGGGTGGGAAGAACTTGAACTCTGTCCTCCTGACACTGATTTCCGATAGTGGCACCATCATCCCTCCAGTGACTCAGGACCAAAACTTAGTGTCATCTTGAACTTCTTGCCTCTACATCTCACTTAGTGAGTCATGCAGAATCCATTCTGTAATGTCATTCCCATTTTTCCCTCACTTGACCCTTTCCCATGGCCACATATAGTTGAAGCCCTTGTTAGCTGTCTGTCTTGTTTTATTATACTTAATCTTGTTGCTGCAGAGTAATATTCCTGAAGCATAGCTCTAACAATGCCACTGTGCTGTGCTAAAACCTCTGACTCCCAACCACCTGCATAAGACAGTCCAAATTCCCTGCCCTATCTTGCCAGACCCTGTCTCCTCATCACCCCCATGTACTAACCAAACTGAACTACAACATGCCTTAAATATTCCTGCCTCAGCTAATCACTTGACAGTCCTTTTCCTAGTATCTTTATTGAAATCCTGGTCTATTCTTAGTTTAACTCTTTTGAGATATTTATCTGTGTCTATCCTTTATTTCATCTACTTATTAGCTTGTTTTAGCTGACTCCACCCTGCCTTAAGTTGTCAGCTCCTCAAAGGCAGAGACAGAGTTTCATTTATCATTGTCCCACACACACACACACACCTAGCACACTATCAGAGAAACTTGAATTGAGATCAGATTGAAACCCAATTTAAAAATCACCTTCTCAGCTCATGGTTATAGATTTTTACATCTGGAAATCATCTGAGCACATCATCTCATTTTAAATATGAAAAAATCAAAGGTCAGAGAAGTGAAGTTACTTGCCCAGTCTTTCCCAGCTGCCTTCCCATCATTCCTCGCACTGTTCTAGCGACACTATTTGCAGCCTTGTCATAGGAAAATCTGTTTCCATGTCTCTTCTTTTTTCCTAGATTTAAGTGTCTTGACCTTGACACATTGTTCCATAGGTGATTTATAGTTCACCATTTGGATAATGGAAATGTAGATTGGGAGTGGAGCTGGTTTCAATGAATTAGGTGCACTACCTGAATGGACACCAGGTGGCAACCTGCAGGCAGATGCCAACTGAGGCTAGAACAATGGAACTTAAAGTCAAGGCTGGAAGGAACCACAGAGACCCTCTTTTTTTGCAGCGAAAGAAACCGGGAAACTGAGACATGAGTGACTTGCTCAATAACTATTGAGAGGCAAGTGAGTCATTAGTTTTATTGGCACAAGAGAATCGACTTTGGAGTTGTTAAGTAAGTGACTATATGTTTGTGACTCTGATTGCCAGCCGATGATCTAATATGAATACTGTTTTGTGTGTCTAGATCAAATAATGCTGTTTGGAAAAATTTCCTGGCGGTTGTGTGGCTTAAAGAAACTCCCATGGTCATGCGACTCCAGATACTTCTGGGGCTGGTTGAATGCAGTGTTTAATAAGTAAGTTACTCTTATTAAAGTGAAGAGTTTAATAAGTAAGTTACTCTTATTAAAGGGATTATTAAAGTTAAGTGAATTCCCAATAGCTACTTGGGTATTTTGTATATTTCAAATGTTTTTTTTTTGTACAGATGCAGTATGAACCTCATTTTGTTTGAAAACAAATAAAACATACACACAAGCACTGAATAAAGACAAAAAAATAGATTACAAAATATTCACTTGACTGCTTTGCAGGATTTCAGTGATTTTTCTTTTCTTATTTGGTCTTGCCATGTCTTTCAAGTTTTCTAAAATATTTATTACTTTTATAATCTGAATAGCTCAGTAAATGTAATTTTAGAATATTTTATTCTATAGCTTCTTAAGGGATGTAGTTAGCTTTTTGAATGCTATCAAGGAAATGCACGTTTTTAAAAAGTGAGTTGGGCATGCTTAGAAATATTTTGAAATTGATGAAACTAACTTCCTTGTTACTTAATATAGCATTAACACCACTAACTAGAGAAAAAGCCATGTGTAGAAATTAATATCACTTAATGAGATTAATTAATTTGAACATAGGTTCAAAATTATTCCCTTTAATCTTTTATTATTAATAAAGACAACCAAGTGTACCATTCATTCAATGCATTTTGTCTTTAATATAGTGTTATTGAGTACCTCCTGGTGTCAAGCACTGTGCTACATATGAATCAATGAAGACTCATGTCTGCCTGATAAACTCATATAAAAATAATATGCCTTAGGGAATGCAGTCAGCAGCAATGTAATGGCTAGATGTAGAGCCAGAGGAAAGAATAATCATGGGGATCACTTCATAAACTATATAAATGTCTAACCAATGTACTGTATACTTGAAACTAATAATAAAATTTAAAAAAAATTTTAAAGAAATATTTCTGTAATCTTAATAAATTAATAAAAAAATAATAAATATGCCTTGACAGTGTTCACTTGGAAACAAAAAGTAGGAAAGGTAGCAGGTAGAGCCATTGTATGTTTCTGTTTTATATAGATCTCATTAATATACTTGTCTCCCTCCTCAGTCATTTCATATGAAAAATTGCTGTTATTCTATATTTATGTTGGTGAATATAGTTAAGAATCTAGTGATCGTAGTAAAAGCTAACTGCTTTTGTTCTCTTTGCAACAGAGTAGATTATGAACGCATCAAGGATGTCGGCCCTGACAGGGCAGCCTCTGAGTGGCTGCTGCGCTGTGGGGCCATGGTGCGCTACCATGGCCAGGAGAGGTGGCAGAAGGACTACAACAACCTCCCAACAGGCCCTCTGGACAAATACAAGATCCAGGCAATCGATGCCACTGACTCTTGTATCATGAGCATTGGATTTGATCACATGGGTAATTACCCTATCATTTGCTTATGGGAAATACAGCCGATTTTTAGTGACATTTTGTTGCAATTGAATATTATAGTCATAAGTGTATCCTTTTTACCAGTACAGTCCAGTTTCTTCCTATGTATGATATTTATTTTTAAATTAAATAGAAGTTACGAATACCTTCCTCTCTCCCCTCCCTGAGCTCGTCGTCTCTACATGACTTTGTTATGTGGTTTATTGACTTAAAATTTAAGACCTTGTTTGTCAAATTGTATTTGTCAAAGTTCTGTCACTGAGAAATCCTCAAAAATGTAAGAATAATTATATCCACACAGCTTCTGCTTATGTGGGCATTTCTTTCCTCCAATGCATGAGAGTCTGACTGCTCCTGTCTATCAGCACAACACATATTGTGAACACCTTGTATGGTTAATAAGGTGTCTAATTGTTCCACTTTTCCTGGGACTGAGAGCTTTTCCAGGACGTTAGACTTTCAGTCCTAAAACCAGAACAGTCCCGTGAAGCTAGGACAGTTGGTCATTTTAATGGTAAAGCAGATTCTTAAACTGAACTTTTTTTTTAACCCCCAGAGGGCCTACAGCATGTTGAAAAAATAAGGTTATGCAAGTGTCATTATATCGAGGATCACTGTTTGGAGAGACTTGGTCAACTTGAAAATTTACAAAAAAGCATGTTGGAAATGGAAATAATTTCATGTGGAAATATCACAGACAAAGGCATCATTGCTTTGCATCATTTAAGGTAGGCGGTCAGTGCCAAAGTGAAAATTTGATAATGATGTTAAGGTGAATAATCAGAATTTAAAACAGTTGAGAGGTAGTATCTTTAGCTCTGAAAATATGATTTAAGAAAACGACTTAACTTTCATCTCTAATACTTTAGAACAGTTAAAATTATTAATCTTAACGTGTTAAGGTTTTATTGCATTTTTTTAGGGGGCATCATTTTAAAGAATTAAATCTATATAAAACACCTAGCATGGTGGCTCCTACAGTAAGCTCTCAATAAACACTAGCTAGTATGCTTCCTCTCCATCTTTTAAAGCAATTTTCCTCATGTTCTGCCAATAACTTATCACAGGAAGTTTGAGAAATTTTAAGCATTAGAATCAAAAGTACTAGGTTGTTTGTCTCTTACATTAGTTGAAGCCTCAAGGCTGCGTCTTTTAATAGCAACTTAAGTTCCTTTAAAAACTTTCCCAATTTTTTTCCTTTTCTAGGTTAAAATTCATATTTTATATCTCACATGCAAAGGAGTTCAATGCCGTAATATACATTTAGTATTTGGAAAGATACAGCTAGAATTATTGCTATAATTCAGAACAAAACTTTCCAAAGTCTGGCTTAGTTCCTAGCATGAATTTCATTTAAAGTAGTACTCTAAGACTACCGTTCTAAAAGTCATTTTGAAAGTATAGAGTGACATATACATATTCTGTGTGTAATTTTTTTCTAAAAGTCAATAAATTGAGTTTATTTTTAATGCTGCAAGAGTAAAGGCCAAATTGAAGTAACTTTTTTCTTTCTCTTTTTACAGAAAACTCAAGTATTTGTTGTTAAGTGATCTTCCTGGAATAAGAGATAAAGAAAACCTTGTTCAAGCCTTTAAGACAGCACTGCCTTCTCTGGAACTAAAATTAGACTTGAAGTAAAATAATAAGTGCCTTATTCAATATAAAGTATCATTTAAAATTGTTGATCCTAAACAGCATCAAGTATTATATAATCATCAGTAGAACTATAAGGATAGTATATCATGACATTTTAGAAGCAGAGTCCATCATGTAGAAAATATTCACATGTGACTCACTAGTTACTAAACTGGAAACAGAGTTTAAGTACATTAAATCATTTTAAGAAAAATGCAACCCAGGTAGCATTTTAATTCTAATATATTCCTCATTTTATATAGATATCTATACAGATATCTCCTGATATACTTAGTTCTTTAAAGTGACTTACGTGTACAACATATTTATTGTATTTTAACAGTAATTTGTTACATTTTAAAATTATTGAAGCATGTTACTATAAATATACAATTATGAAAAATTGGAAGCTAAATTTCAGATTCACTGATGAGTCAATTATGCAAAGTAGTCAGTGGTTGTTGAGGCATTCATTCATCTGGCTTCCTGGCATTTGCATGCCTTTCTCATGATCCTGCATTCCTGTGTTTTTTATAACATACACTCGTTCTCTGAATAGTTTCTGGCTAATTTGTCTATTTAGTAAGCTTAGTCTGGTGTTTTATTAAAAGTAGACATAAATACTTGACTTGACTGAATTCAAATCGTCCTGCTGATTGCAATAGAACAGAGGAAACAATCATGAAGACCAGCATGGCCCTACTTACTTTTTGCTTCAATTTAAACAGAAAAGTTTAACATGTCAATTACAATTTTTATTTCCTCCTTTATGTTGGACACTACTGCCTGTGAGTGCAAGGGACCAAAAAGAAGTGTATAAGCACAAAATTCAATTTATATCTAGAAAGCAGAGATAAAGAATATCATTAATAGGTAAAAACAGATCCTTATTCTTACCTGCCTGAAGCGGCCCTGATTCTTTTATTGTTAGTTATATGCCATTTCATTTATGGATTTCTGTCTGTTTGGTTTGAACATTAGGCTGCTGAATATAACCTTGACTGGAAATAATTTTAAAATAAACTCCATGATGTAGCGTTCAGGCAGAAAATGAATTTTAATTGTGTTTAGAAACCAACTTGTGTCAATAGCACATACCATAAATGATATACTGTTTACTAATATGATTGCCACTGTCATTTTAAAAAAATCAGAAAATAGTAAATTAAAAAAGACAAGGATATAAAACAGTCTCATGTGAAACAGTGGTGATCTCATGCTGAAGAAAGAATTGCAGAAATGAATAAGTTAAACATAAGCATACATTTAATAGAACTCAGTAGAAAAAAAAATAAGCGCTTCTATCTCATTTGTTAGATTACTGTATGGTGAGGCAACTGATTCACCACAATTTAGTCTGGAGCTAGTTTTCTATTCTGAATAGTTTTCTGTCAAACTATTAGATGAATTAGGCAATTATAGTCATCTGCCTCGTCAAGCATATTGTTTTGGGTTAAGGAAAAAACCCCACAAAATGTAAACTACTCACAGAAGTTGGATGTACTTCCTTGAATCAAGGCTGCATAACAAGAATTAAATAATACTGGGATTCGTATTTAGCCCACTATCAGCTCTATGAAAGAAGCTATATACATCAGGAAGCTTCAGGATATTAAACTGGCTGGAGTAGCCAAGATTTTTGAACAGTTGCCAGAATTGGGTGGATTACTTAGCTGTAAGTGAATAAGGGCATATGCTGTCATGAAGAAAATTAACATAGCAGTAAACAGTACAGAAGAAATGTTTTGAAGAAACAGTAAAATACACCTTCAAAAACCATGGCTAAGAACTGCTAGAAAATAGCAGCACATCAACCAAAAATGGCTTTGAGATATAAGAAACAGATGTGAACTTTATATTGCCCTCGTGTCCAGGTGACAAGAATGAAAAAACTTTTCAAATAGAAGCAATAGGCCAAATCGAAGCTAATTATATGTCATCATTTTAAGTATCACTGCAAAGTTAGGAATCCTCAATATCATTTTGGACATTTTTATTAATAGTTGTTAGTATAGTACATATATATACACACATATATACACATACACATATATACATATAGTGTAAAAAGATATTTCAGAGAAAATATCAATTTACAACCTAATGTCTTTTCATAAACAAAAGCTCACAATTTCTTCTAAAACCCAGATCACTAAAGTCCTGCCTGTAGATCTGTCTCCAAGTCTGAGGCATAGCTGGAGAGAATGAAGTATTAATTATTTTCAGGTTGGCAGGCTCAGTTCCTGCCAAGCCTATAGGTCTTGTTCTACCTCTTGATCACCTTGGTCATCTGCCAGTCTTCATGCCATTGTTTGCAAGGGGAATAGAGTGAACAAGTGTAGATGGATTATAGTAAATCCATCTTGCCTGCAAAAATGACTAAGATGCATCCTCTACTAAAGATAAAAAGAGTACGTAAGAAATGTCTATACACACATCATTAAATATATAAGCATATAAGGTAGTCTTTTTATAACCCATATGATGTTAAATGTTTTTGAACTCTTAAATATTCCGCAAAATGTTTTAAAATATAAAATTCAGAGAGAGCAAGCAAGAAATGGAATTTTACATATTTTGATTTCAAGAACCAAAACTCCTTAAATGTGATGTTGAGACAATCAAAAAAGGCAGAAGAATGTGGGACTCAAGATGACAAAGAGCAAGGGAAATGCATATAGGCATTTTAGAATCTATTTTTCATTTGTTGCATATGGTACAATTGAAGCATAAGGTTTTTTTTACATCTCTAGTTTTGCCTGATGTATGGACAGTAGATACCATTTATATAGCTGTCCATAAACTCAGCTACTTTAAAATAAAAGTACAAGTGAAAATCCAAGTTTTTCCTTTCTGTTCTAGACACCATCAGCAAGCACAGAAGGCTGCCTCTGGAATTTCCCTTCACATCTTGCCAAGTGACCTCCCCCAGTTACTTAAGTTTGCTCAATATTGTGATTGTTTTCAATCAAATATATGTTTTATTTCCTTCGAGTTATTCATCAATTCTTTTTATTATCAGTCTCCAAGCTCCTTAAATGTTTGGAAAATGGTAGTTAAGTTTCTTGGTATTACAGTAGTACTTCTTATTATCCAAAGCTGGAAGGATGCTGCTGCTAGTCAGCTGAGGTAGGTACTGCAACTAAAAATACAAAACACAGAATTAGGTTCAATGCTGTACATCTTTTTTCACCACTGATAACACATCACACAAAAGTAAATTTTTCAGCACAGAAACAGTTTTTGTGCAACAGAATCCAGAACCTGAGAGAAGACAAAAGGTTTAAATTTGGTCTCTACTTTTTCCTTTTAAAGGCTTATTTTATATTAAAAGACAAAACACACATTAAAGAAAATTTAAAGAGTATGAAAAAGGAAAAAATCTGCATGTTAACCATATTGGAAAAAAGCACATATTCACAGGAGTTAAGAGCTTCCTGGGACCTTAGAGATCATTTAAGCCAATGCCTTGTTTTATAGCAAAGAAAACAGATGTCTGGAGCACTTAGGCGATTTGCCCATTTACTCCTTAAAAGGCAAAACTGCTCCCTTCTTGCCGCCAGAAAATGTTTAAATTTATTGTCAATGTCAAATGAAGGTAAGGAGAACACATATTTCTTGTATAGTACTATATGGCCTTAGGTATCTGAAAAGTGGGTACTTTTTATTATTTTTAAATCAAACGGTTGAATCCTTCAGTACATACAAGCAATATACATAAATTAGGGGCTTCCCCTATTCTTTCAAGTAAAAGTATTTCCATCAAGACCTTTACTCTTGAATACAAAGAAACAGATAAGGGGTAATTGGGGGGAAAGTATTTCTAGCCTGTTTTGCTACCTGGGTCAATAAAGACATTTGTAATTTCAAAACTCTGGTCTATCTTAGGGTCCTGGAATTCATGCAGTACCTGTTGCCAGTGGCCTGTCCACCCTCTTCCCTCTTCCAAACCTCATACACCACCAGACACCATTCAGTGTGCTGTGCAGTGGAGGCTGCAAAGGGAAAGTCTAAGGCAAGATAATTTAAGGAGTATCTAAGGCAGATCCAGAAGTGACCAGGAGCAGCCAGCTCAGCTGCGGTTCCAACTAGTCCTTCTAAATTATTACAGCTTTAGGCCTGTGACAAGACACTTATTGGGAGGCTGTTTTGCCACCTAACACCAATCACTATTCTTCACACGTTCCCAGTGAGACGTTTGGAGGCTATTCATTGGTTAAATGTACTGTTCTGCTGCTATCACTGAAAGCACTCATCACTGCATTCACCCTAGCCAACTCTAATGATTAAAAGATCAGGGAGGAAAACAGTTTCTTTTTAGGATAAACCTGGAATGTCAATAAATACTGAAGGTAAAAATGATGACAGAAGGATAAATCTGATTTCATTTTCCAAGAAATGCTCAGCTGGGCTCACACCCGTGTACCTGGCTGAGACCTGTGCTTATGAACACCAAAAACCCTGGCCCAAGTGTGGCAGCTGGGCACCGCAGGGCAAGGACACTTTTAGGATTCAGGGAGAAGCGGCCTTAAGAGGCAGCTATAGTGGGTGCCCTGGTTGGTCAATCATGTGACCTGTCTTCTGGGGTTGGAATAAGGGTGCTGGAGTTACAAATCACAGTTGCCACCTCAAGTATAAATTCAGACTCTACACTAGGTAGCAAGTATGAGATCATCTGAAGCTGCAACCTTGGATGCTTCTGTAAAGCAGTGGTACTTTCGGCTCTGTCTTAAGGTCTTCCTCGTTGGTTTGTCATGATCTTTTGCCAAATCCCCTATTTCTCTGATGCTGTCAAAATATGGGTGTTGCAACAACTGTTCACAGGTCAGTCTCTCAGCAGGATTCATGTGAAGACAGCCCTGAAAGAACATAAAAATTCCATCTTCTTACTACTTTAAAATAAAATTAACTTATTAATTTTTTTTTTGTCTTTGTAAGATTAAACTTCAGTTGGGAACAAGGTGGGAAAGAAGAGGGAAAAAAAAACAATTATGATTTTAGTTCCTTCCATGATCATTCCTAAATAGGTAACCGCATAATAGTTTCTAAAAATACTAACAAAAAAATTTTTCTCCACCTGCTGTTCTTGAGGCAGTTGGTGTTCTGTCCTGAAGGAGTAGAACACCTCAGTGTCCAACTTGAATAATCCACTTAGCCTGTTTGGTCCCTTGTAAATACTTTGGAAAAACTAGTTTAATTTAAAAAATAATACCTACACATGGTAAAAATAAAATGCATACAAGATCCAGCAAAATCTCTCCACCATTCTAGTTCTTCCATTCCCCTTTCTAAAATCTGTTTTGTTTTTTTTTGGTTTTTTTTTTTTTTGGTATATTCTTCGAAAAATAGTCTATGCATTACAAGCATATATGTGCCTGCATTGAAAGAAAGGCTTAATATACATCCCTTTATATCATTCTTAACTATTTGCTTTGCCAGTAACTAGGCCATATGGCTCATACTTGGATAGATTAAATCTCACAACCACATATACCAAGGAACTCTCATTTTTTTCTATTATAAATGCATCAGTGATTGCATTAAATATTTGTTGAAATAGGTAGGACATTGACAGTAACTTGCAAATATTTTAATTAGTACCTCATTTACATATGACCTACATATTTCTGAAAATGTGTATGTAAAGTTTTAAAATCAAAACCTACTTCAAACATACTAGGGAGTTGGCTATTTAAAAAGATCCTATGGCTAAACATGTTTTGAAGAAAACGATCCTTTTTTTAAAACAAACACCACTCCTCTGAAATGTCTATTTCGTGTAAATTTAGATTTCAAATACAATGTTAGATTTAAGTGAAAAACAGATGTTTTCACTTTAACAGAATGTGACCCATTTTAAAAACTGAAAATACATATACTTTTCAAAGGAGGAGGAGAATTCTAAAAGGAACACTTTTCAATCCATAGATTCCTCAATGATAACAGCTGCTGTGTGCTTCCTGGTTGTCTGGAAGCCATGATTTTACCTTCAAGAGCCCCAGGGCAGGATAGGAGATGTTTGGAAATTTTAATTCAAGTGGTTCCTGTTTTAGAAAAAGAAAAAGAGGGGAGCGGGGAGGTTACATACAGAATATATTCAAATATAAGGTTACTTCAGATTGCATTTCTTTTGAGTGACAGTATTTTCCTGGCACCTTCCTTGCCTCCTCCACCCTCTGCTCAACATACGTCTCACCTGAAACAAACTGCCTATGCCTGTTTCTCAAGCTCCTTTTCTCCCCACCTCCAAATGGCTTTTCCAAATTTTCTTCCTAATGACTTCTTTCACTTCCTGAAGAATTAATGTAGGTAGAAAATTGAGAAAACACTAGTGAAGAAAAAAATGTCGAGCAATCATTATTTTCTTTCTTTTTTTTTTTTTTGTGCTTCAATTTATATAACTTGCCTTGCCTCAGAATAATTTTTGCACTTATACTGGCATTTATATAAAGGGGGGCCCAATTATTTCATTTATTTATATTAACATAAAGGGAGCTTCAAAATAGTTTGGGTTTTTGTTTGTTTGTTTGGTGGGAGCGTTGTTTGTTTTGCTACCCAGGTGAACAGATGCTTCTTGGTTTTCTGAAATAAACACTGTTGTCTCCTCTCACAAGAGCCTGCTGTTTCTCTGATCATCCTGCTGTTTAGAGTCTTCCAAGCAGATATTTATCAATCTCCATTTGGCCATATGAGACTATTTTGCTCTAGTCACATGCTGGAGACACTGAGGAATAACAAACACAATAAAGTGGGAGGAATGCCCAATGTCAGTCAGACAGACAGGCCAGTTAAAGAGATATACCACTGACAAAGAGGCTAATCAAAGAAGGGAGCTGAGAAAATAAGAGCCAGCCAAGCTGAGTAAAATAAATGAACAAGTGCATTGCATGTATAAAGATGGCAGTGTGTGAGCTGGAAGCTGGAGTGGCAGGCCAGGCTCTCTGGATGAAATATAATCCCCAGTGCTGCGAGCACAGTGTTATTTTGGATGGGGAACTGGCCAACAACAACCAATTCTCAAGTGTACATTTATTAGCACTGATAAGAGATAAGAGCCTGTTTTAAGATTAACAAGGGAAAAAATCCTAAAGCAGATTTGTGTTAGCCCTTGAGAGTAGCCCTTCCTCCTCCCTCCCCCTCGCTCGCCCCTCCCTCCCAAAGCTTAAATATTTCTCTTGCTATTTCTGTGTGCTGAATCTGAGCACCACTAGGGATTGACATGACATTGCTGACACTGAACTCTGCTGCCTCAGCAACAAGGCCTGAGATGAGGCGGCCTGGTTGGCTGTGATATGATAGTCCTATCCTGCTTGCTTAGCTGGTTTTCCCAGCCCCAGAAGCAAGCAGGCCTCCCTCCTGCAGGGTTACTGACCGGCAGAGGGACTCCAGCACAGATGTTAAACCAGCACATCCCTTGCACTGCTTCTTCCTGTGTTTCTGTCAACAGGAAATACCCTGCAGGACAACCTCTGGGAAATCATGGGAAGCATTTTTTTTTAAATGTATGGGAAGCATTTTACGTTTATGAAACCTGGGTTGTTTCTGGGGTTTCACCGGTAGACAAGTGAACAGGAAATCCCTAAGGGATATTTAGTGTGGAACTGGGAACATCCAGGTCATAAGGGAGCTAGCTAGGTCACCTCACATATGCCAGGTGTCATTCCTTCCTCTCGGTCCCAGCATATCCACTTTTCCTATTGCTAGAAAGGCAGGAGGGGGAGGCAGTCGAGAAGTGGAGGCCTTCATTGTGGGACAAGTCACGAAGTTGAGGGGACAGACAGCTCAAATGGAACTTGACAGAACTGTCATGTGGAAACTGAGCAACGGGAGGGTTAGTTTCAACTTGAAAGTAACTTCCTTAGACAGTAGAAACTCAGGATTTCACAAACCTTAATTGTGTTCTGCAATGTTTTTAATTATAATGCAGGCTCACTAGAAAACATAAAAAATATAAAAAACCATACAGAAAGAAAAAATTACTTCACCAGAGAGATATCCACTGTTAATATTTTTGTATATATCCTTGCAGCCATTTATTTCACAAATGTAAAAAGCTTTGTATGATATTCCAGAGGTTGTCATATTATTTTATACTGATATATGTAAATACATGTAATATATAATGTAAATACATTACATATTAAATATATATTCTAATTATGTCAAATTAAATATACTGTTTTAAAACCTTTTTTTTTTCATAGCAACATGC